AGTTTAACATAACAGCAAATGTACAACGTTTCGACTTGTACAAGTAGTTTACACTGACACAGATATATATAAATATATATACAGTATGGAACAAAGAGGTCACATGACTGGATACTGTTGCAAGACTTAGAAGAGAAATCTTGGCACCCCAGGGTGTTGGTTTAGAGAAGGGTTGTTTAGTAACGATTTTAATTTAGGGCCGAGTTTTTGAGAGAATTTGATGTTGACAGGAATATTGTGTTTAATGGCTAATTTGAATTCATCACTGTTATGATATAATTGCTCACTGTATTTAGTCAGTGTAATCTAGCCCTTCACAAAACACTGCTCTCTATAATGCATTTTAAATAGGTTCTTCACAGGGTATAAAGATTAAGCAACATTTAATCTTTTCCCACAGATGTATTATTTATATATTTTTACACTTCTCAAAAATTTACATTTAGTATATGCCAACATCAAAGATTTATAAGTGATATCAACAAACATTAAACCCATGACATTATCGGAAGACAACAGCTAGTGCTTGTGTAAGGTATACTTTATTATTTCATTATTGTTACTTCCAGTAATAGTTTTGGTAAGAAGGTTTTAATATATCTAATATTATTATATTTATTTTAATTATTAGACTTTTATTTTTGAGATTGTTTTATATTGTTAGTTTAATATACGTATTTAGGACTAACCTAAATCTTCTAAGCTGGTCAAACTTTTAGAGATATTATTGGGTTTATGGCCAAAAGTTCACATTTTCCTAAACTGAAAATGTATTTCCAATAGATACTTAACTCCTCCTCTCACAAAAAGCTTTCTCGATTTATACTGCCCTCTATCGCAGCAAATTTATGCTCGCCACTTGCCTTGATACTCCCACTTACCCTCATATGTATGTTAATGCGAGATATCTGCATACTAACATACAAATGATTATGCAGCAACCCTCCACCAATAGAAGTGTGACACTACCCTTATCATACCTAATGCCCTCTCTAATCTTGCAGATTTTAACCACTTCGAGATTGGTCAAATCACACAAACCACACCGGAAGTGGGGAAGACAGGTGGGAAATATGAGTGGAGGTAAGTATCTATCAGAAATACATTTTCAATTTAGGAAAATGTTAACTTCTGATATAATATCTTATTTCCTCTCACAAAACCTAGAATCCCACATTAAACAGGTGGAGGGCTGGTGAGAAGATGATCCCCTTTTAGGAGGCACCCAAAGAAAAACCATGAGGTGTGAGAAGGAACTAAAAACAATACACGAGTGGGAGACAGCACCACTTCTGAACCAGGTATACTCTTCACCCGTTAGTAATATGTCTCCATAAGGAAGGACCCCAAGAAAAGTTACAGAAACAGGGTGTGACAGACTGTAAAATGGAGTTCGACCTCAACCAACACTTGGCAGCATCTGGAATTGTACATGAGTTCTGCAGTAGGAAGAGGATTCTCTACCTTTCACCTCAAGAACATATACCAGCAGGGAAGAGGAGTTTCTGTACCAAGAAACTTATACCCAAATGAGAGAGAACCTTTTGACCTAGCCCTAAACCAAAATAGGAAGAAAACTCGGCCCAACTGAATAGGAAGTAAAACAACACCTTAAGATGAACGAGGTATTGTATAGGAGAGAAAAAAAAAGTTTCCACCTTCACCAACCAACGATTCTGAGCATCTACTCCTAGAAGTAAAGAGGAAGAAAGGTAGGTTCGGCTTGTGAGAAAGCCAGACATACTTGCTATGGTGGAAATGGTAGGCCCTGGAAAGGAACAAGATGGGGAAAAACCCAGACCATCGAAGCTGTAAGAAGCCAAGGAGAGGTCCAACTGAGAAGTCCAGATGGAAAACACACATCCTCTATGGTCCCAAAAAAAAGTTAGAATGCAGGGGAGTAGTTAATGAGGAGGAATGCATCTTACACAACACCCTCATTCCTCCACAAACCAGGATGGTAACCCAACAAAGGGCTAATTATGACCCCATGGTGAAATGTAAAAGGATTTATCAATGGCTCAGAACTGACCAAATGATGATAGAGCACCAGTCCTTTAACCTTTGAGGGGACAACAAACAGATGGGATTAAGAAACCCAAATATAGTTATCTCCCCAGACGATGGCATCTTTGCAAAGCAAATCCCAAACCACCTCCTAAAAACTCTGGCAGGAAACAGAAACCAGAGGATAAGGGAACTTTGAAAAAGGACCAGACCAAATGTGATCACCTCATCACCCAAGGATCTGTGAGAAATTATCTCCAAACTCGGGCAAAGCAGTTGAAAACATTGTTGTACCATGTCTGATGGAGTAAGAATGTGTGTATATTGTAAAGCAAAGCCACATTGGGCCAAGTGCCACTTCCACTGTGTGAGCCCAAAGTCACCAAGATCTCTGGTTGCCCCAAAAATAGAGCCCCAAGGATCAACAGTGAACTGCTAAAAATTGGGAGGCCAGAACCAACCAGGGGAGGAATGGGGACAAGGGGGTGTGGGAAAGAACAAAGGTCAAGTGAAGTTAAGCAATAGGGCTGACCCAAACCTGGGCTCCTGAGATTTGGGAATCCCCCCCAAAAAAAAATCACTGGTACCAAACAAAAAGTGCCATACTAATAATCATGCCTAAGGAGGGAAGTAAGAACGATGACATGCCAGAGCAGGGTCGTGCACAGAATATGGGAGTCAAGGTATATGTATCCCAGAATGTATCTGGTCCCCAAAACAACACTCAGGTTTCCCAATAACCCTAGGGGTTCAGGGAACACTAAAACTGACCCCACAGCTTGTCACAGAGAAGGGCAAGAATAGAATGAATAGAAATAGAAGGTAATGATAAAACATATTCTACCTGGTTTAATAAGTCTACGAAAAGGAAAGGAGGCCTAGACACCTCCCCAGAAATGACACGTGACTGGGAGTCATAGGCAGAAGGAGAAACTAGACAGCTCAAATCCTCATTGTCATGTACAGGCAAAGCAGTACAAAATATAAGAGGATAGCCAGCAGGTGCTCAGAAGTTCACAAACATTTAGCTAACTCTTGGCAAACCAGCCATTACATCCCCAACTGATAATGTATGTGCTCAGATACTGTTGAAGTGGCAGAAAAATCAGCTGTAGTAGTTACATCCACTGAGGTAGATGCCATGCGAAATTACACATATATGACAAGTGGAGTTGACAGGAAAAAAAATAGAAGTGTAACTTCAACAAGAATTCTCAAAACCATACAAATTTGAAAAATTTATGGCTGAGATAAGAAAAACTACATGGCTGAAAACTGAAACTATATACTTTGGTAAGTAAGCAAAAAAATCAGTCTGAAAACACGAGCAAAAACACATGCAAACTGTAAGACTGCCAATCCAGAAGTGGTTAACAGCTACAAGATTAGAAAGGGTGCTAGTTATGATAAGGGTAGTGTCCCACTTCCTATTGGTGGAGGGTTGCTGCATAATCATTTGCCTGTTAGTAGACAGATATCTCACATAAACATATTTAAGTAGGTGTATCAAGGGTAGTGGTGAGTGAAAATTTATGCCGATAGAGAGCAGTATAAATTGAGAAAGCTTTTTGTGAGAGGAGGTAAGATATTGTATCAGAAATACAGTAAACAGCAAAGGTGCACAACTGATAAAACAATACATTCTAATCTTTATATGTAAAAAGGTACGAAAAATATACTTAATTAGCTATACTCATTACCGGGTTGATTTTTAGTTTTGCTCTAGCTAGGTAGTTTGCTTTGATCTGAAGTTAATATTAATCAATAAAATCTCTTCCTACTTTAAACATAATTTCAAAATAAAGAAAGAGTTGAAACTTGTAGAAATTATCATATTAGTTTTTGGTACTTTTATGAAACAATCACCTCATTTTCAAACACTTTTGCAGCAAGAAGTTTTCTGTTTATGCTTTTGTCTGGATTTAAGATCTCTTCACCAAACTCAAAAACTATATTCCTGTAGGCTTCCCTTCCATGTTCGTAGCTACGATGGGCAAGTTTATCACTGTTTATTACAGCAGCTCCCAGCTTTTCTAACCGTTTGGAAATGGAAGACTTTCCACTTGCTATGCTTCCTGTCAAGCCAATAAGGTAAGGCCTGGAGGGTAAATGAGGTTTTGGCTGAAAAATAATTTTATGCATATTGTATATCAATGATATTGTTTTAACCTTCTGGTGATCAGAGTACAAAATATCAAAATTATTCTACTCAGCTGTAAATGAGTTTGCGTTAACTTAGTATAAACACCAACAGCTTAAAACAAGGTAGAAGCTGTAACATGTTCTAACTGGATAATAAATACCATCCCATGACTAACAGGAAATTGCAGTTTTGAACAGTATCAGGTAGTTTTATTAGTCTATCTAGCCAATGATAGAAAAAAGAAATTCATACGAGCCTTTCATGTTTTTATTTGGTTTTAAAAAGACAAGATGTACATATTGATTATACAGGCACAGCCATATTTTTACTACTTAATATGAATCAATACATGTATACATATGTCTTAATGTTAGAATATGGTTCAACACACAAAAGAAAACCCAAATGTTAAAAATCAAACTGGGTTATTAGACAGTCTTAAACATTTTTTTTTAATGAAAAATCAGAAAAGTGTGTGTTTGTAGAAAAACCTACATGAAGTAAGACAAATAGAGGTTATATGTACTAATTTTCAAATGTTTGAGGAATCGATGTGTAAACAGTTGTTTCAAATTTCTTCATGGTTTAATTAATTTTGTTTTTCTTAATTTCCATTGGTCCAGAAATAAACTTTCAGTACATCAGTGTTTACTTCTATCAACCAGATAAAGAGAAATGAAAGCGTGCTCCAAAGTTATTTCTAGACTAATACTACTAATAATGCAGAATCTTTATTAAAAGTAGTCTGTAACACTAATGGTTGTGTTCATATTCTGTACTTTAAGGTGAAGGTACATTCTTCCCTCCTACAAGAGTTTAGCTAATTCTCTAAATTCATTTGAATTATTGTCACTGATATGTAAGGAAGCAAATGTGATGTTACACATAGCACACTCATTAACAATATATATTCTCCTGATTCATTAAGAGCTGCTTGAGCCTACACTTGTAGTAAAAAGGGAACAGTTTGTTTAGTCTCATGAAGACACACGGTAATGTGTCGTGTGGCCAAAATTAACAGGATTGATTGTTTGTTTGTTGGAAGTTAAGCACAAAGCAACACGGGTTATCTGTGCTCTGCCCACCATGGGTATCGAAACCCGGATTCTAGCATTGTAAATCCACAGACATACCACTATGCCACTGGGGGCTAACAACAGGGTTGATAATTTAGCGATACCCCACTTTCTGTAGATTGGACTGTGGTAATCGAAACTATAACAATTTCAGTGGGTATGTTATTCTGGACCCTTACTTCACATACCAAATTTTAAGGCAATTCATTAAGAAATACACAAGATATAAAATCTCCAATTTTGATTAAACTTCCTATTTTTTTTCTTTGCACCAAAAATACTGAAACTTAATTTGATAGAAAAACACACTTCTATGAATCTTTTTCAAATTTGGTCTGAATATAAGCAAACTTATTTTGACCAAAATTTTGTGCACACCTATGCAAAAAGGAACATGAGGTATCTGTCTAAAAATTTGCTTACAGCTCTACCTACGAGTGGACCATTTTTAGTTTTTTGTCATTTGGACTAAATACAGCTGATTTAATGCAGCAAAACTATACGGTGAAAACAAGTGCAAATACATAAATAAGTATTGGTTAGGCCAAGCAATCTAGATTAGCAGTTTCTAGATCAAGTTTTCAAAAGAATCATATGAGTGAATGGTTATTATTCATTGCCAACTTTTAAACACAAATTTGCTAAATTTTATGAAATTCTCCTAATTAAAGAATGTTAACGTTATGTGATATTAGCTTAGATAATGACGCTTGATACAGCTGTACTGAACGCATGTGGGTGATGACAAGAAACTTTTAATCTAGTTTCTATGGCCTTACTATAAAATAAGTTATTAACACTGTTTTAGAGAGGAAAACTACCACCATATATTTTAAAGAATTTGTTTGGTTCTGTAAAGTATAGGTCTGTTCTGAATAATAGGGTTGTGATCCTAAAGCTAATGTTGGTTACTCTTGAGTGTCACTTTCTTATTTGCTGTAGTTTGTTGGTGTGTAATGACAAAAAATCATGATGTCTGATCAAAAACACATCATGCCCCAAGTTGGACAAAATATGTAGCCTGGCTGACTAATGAAAGAATAGTTGATGTAAAATTCTTATCAATGTTATAAATGTAGCTACCAATTATGCTGCCAATTTTGTTTTCATTCCTTTAAGTCTCATGTTCAATCTTTTTTGGCTGCACCATTTTTTTCACACCTAAGGTTTTTTTTATTAGATTATTTATAGCAAAAGAAGAAATATATTTATAGATTAAAATGTATAAAGTAAATAAAAGATGTCTATAAAACATACAAATAAAATAGATTTTCACAGAAGGTTGACAACTGGAAGTTTCAATTTTTAGTAATATTTGATTACTATTATTTCCTTATTTACTATTCTCTCCTCTAAGGACAGCAAACAACAAATAGAAAAAATTTTCATTCTTTTATATTCTCTTACATTTCTATAGATTTATTTGATGAATCTGCTTTAAGTTAGTTTTATACCGATTCAATTATATACTTTGTTCTAATTGTGTTCAATTAGAGAAGCCAAATACAGGATTACTCTTTAAAGCTCTATTGAAAGTGGTTGTCTATAAGGAGGAGGATGGTGATCTTGCAAGATAATTATACTGATGAGGAAATTTTTGTCTCCATTAACAAATTTCACCTTTTTCAACTGAAAATTCAATCTTGGTATTCAATTCATACATCTTGAATTTGTCAGCTGCTCTAAATTAAAATATAAGATTTCTAGTAAAAATAAAAAGTTATATTTCAACTCGAAATAACCATAAGTTGTTTGGATGTTGTCAGTTAACTATGATGTTTTCTACTTACAGTGGGTGGATTCAACTCAGTTCCCAGAAGTCTCATCCTTATAGATGAAGAGCTAACTTTGTCTTCTTCAATACTATTATGAGAAGGATCATGTACCATGGATACCATATGCAGCTTTAATGGAGACATTCCCTATAAATTAATGCTTCATCATGTAGATTCAAAGGCACATTACTTTACAAAAACAATATTCAAAAACAGTTACTAATTTCTAAAAAAAAGATAGATCAACTGACAGAAAACCTCAGATACTGTTTTATTTGTAAATTTGTTTAAGTGCAAAGCCACACACTTGGTTATCTGCACTCTTTCCATTAATGGGAATCAAACCCTAGGTTTACATTCATAAACTTACTTCTGACCCACCGAGGACTCAATTATTGAACAAATAGACATTGAAGTTAGAATTTAAAAAACAAAATTTTTATAATTCTTCTACAAAACAGAATATATTTAGGGAATTATATGTACTGTGGTTTTAGTCACAAGTTACACTCCCATTTCAAGTAATACCTTTGTCATTCTCTCTTCATTCACTTTTTTTCCACCCTGCAATGTCTCTTCACTAGTTACAATACATTCAATGAGAGGATCTTCTGTAGATGGTCCAAATGGATCATAAATTGGAACAATTCGATAGCTTAATGTTGGGTCAATTTCTTGAAGAAAATTTCGTAGGTCACTCATTCTTTTTTCTACAGGCTCAATCAACTCCCAGAGCTTCTTTTCTGCAATGAAGGAAAACAACTTTACAGTTTGATCAACTTCTAAACAAGCATGAAAATCTCTATCAATGCTAATTTTCTAAAGAGGTGTAGTTAGACATAATAAAACAACTGTTCATGTATATACATACTGACTTATTAATGACAAAAGGTTAAATGTAGCAGACACTTTCATTTTTGAGTGTGAATGCTTAAAAATCATACAGAAGAATATATAGCATTTACAGCATGTGACTTACTAATCTCGTGTTGCTAAAAATCAACACTATCATTCAAATAATGATTTTAAATTACAAGACTTGTTTAATATACAAAGGTCAGTTCAGCAAAACTACATAATTTTTGAGCAGTAAAAATGCAAAACAATGAAAACATTAACATATGTCTGATAATTCATTAAGTTATTGAAATTATGTCTTTTAATTCCACAGCAAAAAGTTGAATTGTTAGAAAAAAACAATCTCTTAAACTACAAATTCATTAAAACACACATGTACAATTATCTAAATTTAAAGAAAGTGAAAACATCAAAATGCTCACAGAAGTATGGAAAGAAATGCGTATAAAGTAATTATTGTGACTTTCAATTTGAGATTTTATAATAATGAATGTATGGTAACAGTTTGTCTTTTAGTGTTTATTTACCTAAATATAAGAACGATGAATGTACATCTGACATAATATAAACATACAATGTATACCTGGTACTTGTTTAATGCATATATATATGGAGAGGTTGAGCATGTTATATTAAAACAATTTTGGAGTTTCACAACAACATTAAAGTTTATGTTGACACATCCAGTCATGCTCTATCTGATGACTGTGCATCTTGAAAATAGACCTGCAACATACTTTTTCTTTCCAAATGGCTTCATCATATAGCTGTAACACCTAAAGCACACCTTTACACCCTGCATATTTTCCATAAGCCATCTAGTGTACGAGAAAGGTGGTTTTCTAACACCCATTTCAACAGTCCAATTGCACAGAAATCTACAAGTGCTGCATTTGGCAACTTGACTGGTATGTCTTCATATGGAATAGCATGAATACTCATTTCATTCTCCAGCTGCTTTAAATATGTAACAGTTGAACAAATATGTCATAGAAACAACTTGTATACATGTAACTACAGTCACTTTTCTATGTGGTGATCCTTCTTGATTATGTTACGTACAATCTTTCCTGTGGAATGTGGATGGCTTTTGCCACTGACCTCTGTGTTCAATGGTTCTTACCTGTTACAAGATGCCGCATCTGTTTACCATGGTTGGGGTATGACTTGTTGCAGGTCTCTTGTTTTCTATGGTCCTGGTGTTTTCCAATACCACTAAATACAAGGAATATCTCCATTTTGGAAATTCCAGATCCTCAATCTGAATACATTTTTATGAACTGGGTGTATAAATATTTTACATCAGAAAGGTTTGTTACATATCCTTCCCAAAGTGATCAATTTTAGTGGCATCATACTACCTACAAAATGCCAAACAATATCTGTAATTCTGATAGATTCTGTCAAAACACAACCTTATATCGACTGTGGTAGTCAGGTGATTTGCCAAGTTTAATACAATGTACTCAACCCTCTACATAATGTTCAAACTATTTGAGCATAGAACACTATTCTGAAAATATGTTATATTTTACTGTGGTAATTTTTCTACTTTAAAAAGTATTTTAAGTTTGTTTTCTAAAATATACTGGAACCAACACAAATGTAGCATATTTTATCTTTTTACTCTTTTGTTCACCCCTTAATAACACAACTAGCAATCTTGCAATGATATGTTGTTGTTTTTTAAATTTCAGAAATTCTCCTAATAATATTAGAAACATTATGTTCATTACGAAAACTATTATAGACAATGGAAAAAGTCTAGTCATAACTTGGAAATCTCTCTTTTTACCTTTGTAGATTAAAATGTTTTTCCTACGCTTATTTTTAAAATTTCCTTATATATATACGTTTATTTTATTCATTAGTGTCTTGTCACTGTCTGAGTAAGTTTTACTGCTTCCATAGTTCATGTAATTTTTAATCTTGAGAGATATCACAACAAGGAAATTAGTTTGTATTGAATTCCCAAATTTATGTTTATGTTGAACAAACTTCATTTTTCCAAAAATATTAAATAATAATTCTTCAAAGCTTATGAATATATGGAATAAAGTTTCACTGAGGTACATGTATTTATTTTAGAAGCACAGAACTGACAAATATGTTATTTCTATCTCTTAGAAATTAAAACACCTTAATAATTAAAATAGTTATATTTTATCAATCAAATGTATAATGTAAAGTATATGCATTAGACTGATAATTTTATCATCAACGTGAGGAGATTTACAATATGGGGAAATAAAATACCTAAAGTACACATCTGAGCAAGTTTTACTTGTATGAATATTTTAGAAGTATTGTACATTATTAGAACTTAAAGCTTTAGCAATCTTCTGTGAAAAAAAGAAGGGGATGCTAGATTCTAGAAAATCATATCTCCAATGCAGAAGTGTATTCTAGAAAAATAATCTACTCTAATAAATTTAAGTTATGGATGTTCTTGTTCAGCGACTCAACTGTGTATTACTTTACAGAAATTTCTTTGTTGCTGACAGGATGAAAACAGTGCATGTACATAACAAAATGAACTACTTCATCATTAAGTGTCTACAGTATTTTACCTGCATATCACAAGACAATTTTTTTGTCTTATGGTGAACACCTACAAGTACAATGTACTAGACAAATTCTAATTACACAATTCATAACAACAAAGGTCTCCACAATACTTTTTTTTTGCTAATCAACAAACAATTCCTTAACCAGAAAATGTAAGACAGGACTTACCTAAAACGGAACTATTTCATGCACTTTTATTTGTACAAAATGAGCTGTCAAAAAAAATACTAGAAATACTTTTAGATTCCAAGACAGATAGTGAATAGGAGTTATAGGACATATGAAAAACAAGAAAAAGCAATGTGATAGAAGGCTTTTTGGTCAATTCAGATCATCTTCCACCTTCTAACTTTAACCTTGTGAGATATTAGTGAGATTATGGCTAAAGTTATTGTTAACAGCATGGGTAACTAACCAACTAATAAAATAATGCACTCTAATCTTTATAAATAGCAATTTTTATAAAAGTATACTTAGTTAGCTGTACTGACTGTCATATCAATTTTTAATTTTACTCTGATTGGAAGTTATTATCATCTGGCAAACCATTCAATACATTCATAATGCTAAATAACAAATAATTTGGCCAATAAAAGTGTACACATCCAAGGTTCAAATAGTTAAATTTATTTCACTTATTATTTTAAGGTCACACTTCTATAACTGTGAAGGCATCAGTCAAATTTCTTCTAATTCTTCCATGCTCTAGAGGAACATTAAGTCTCTCCTCACAGCATAATCATTTAAACTATGTAACACTCTATTAGACTGTATCTCCATCTTCCCAACATTGTGATTTACTTATTTCATCTACAACAAAAAAAGAATTAGGGATAGCTTGATTATGAATTTCTTAATTGTCAGTAGCTTAAAAAAATGCCTACAGATGATTTGTGTGAATGGCAGAATGGAGTGGCTGGAATGTACATTCATATATTAAGAATAAAATGCTAAACTTTAAACTTAAAGTCTCAGTTACATGTTTGCTCTCCAACAGAATTATTTTTCAGTTAAGAACTAATTATAATTTTTTTACAAACCAATTTCTTATCAACTTCTTAAAGACAGTTCATTTTCCATTATTATTTATAAGTGCACACAACTCATTATATACACTTTTACCTAGGTTTTTCATGCTATTCAACAAATACATTCAAGTTTCTACTGGCTATTGGACAGACAATACAACACAAGACCTTTATGAAAAATCACTTACTTTGTATCATTTCTCCATCAGTTATTCCAACTATTAATTCATCTGAACAAACAAGTGCTGCTTGACTGAGTAAAACTTTGTGTCCGTTATGAAGTCTATCAAATGTTCCCCCAATAACAACTTTCTTATAAACTTGGCAGCAGCTGCTGTAACTAATATAGGAATTCTGTTTGTCAACATCTGTATCCACACCAACAACAACAGAGCTCAGGTTCCCTATTGTACTTGCATGTTTCTGGTTTTCTTCTACTTTGTTCTCAAGTACATGAACAGTACCACATTCTTTATTGTACTGGTATTTGACATAATCAATTAAACCTTCTACAGCTTTAGGTGAATCAGTGATGACAACATCAAATGAATTGATTAAGCCATGGTCTTGTATTTTAATTTTTTTGGTGAACCCTTGCAAAACTCTAACATCCAGGTTTGCACATGAATGAGAGGCTTGTTTATAAATTGCAGGAATAAGTTTTCCAACAGCAGATAACTCTCCCAAATTACAAAAGCTATGGTTGAGAGGCCACAACTGATTTTTTCCTGGCTCTAACTTGATATACAATGTTTTAGAAACGAGTTCACTTGCAACTTTCAAATAGCTTGGAACTCGAGATAAAAGTCTTAACGATGGAGCTGTCAAGACCATCAAGCCAGTTCCAAACATTGTGATCTATGAAGTTCTGTAAATCTATTTACATATATACAGATGTACCATACCTAGAACAAAATGAAAAATTGAAATGGGTAAAAATTCAGATTGCCCTATAGTTATAAACTTCTCATTACTACATACAATTGTGAGAAGGGTAGTAATACGAAAATAAATTCTATGAGCAGCTTAATTTCCTGTAATTAATGTACATCTAAAGCCATTTTTGTGCTGCAAGTTGTTCAAAAAATATATATTTGTCTTTTATTCAAAAACATTAGTCTAATTATGGCTTTACTTATATCATTCAGACATTTTGTGAACTCTTGTTTTGTTAAAATGTACAAAACAATAATCATCTTATTTGCAGTAATAGTTCTTGAGTATACTTTGGTTGAGCTACTAATTAAAACAGGATTATACAGAGTAGACCAAAAAATGTATGCTATAGAAATAATGAAATTTTCTATTTCCATTCAGACTTACAGACCATGTCATATCAACTGAATTTCAAGGAAAAACTTTTTCCTCATATAGTAAGCAGTAACACTGGTTCTGTAACTAACATACAAGCTATGACATTTCATGTTGAGCTAATGTACAGGAAAATGTTGATTTCAAGTTTTAGATCAATTATCAAATCACTCAATTTAAATGTTATACTATAAAATGCATGAACAAGTAATATTGATAAGTAAATGACTGAATTACAAACTTTAGGAATTACTAAAGGTTCCAAAAAATCAAGTTTAATCAACTTTATGGAAATTTATAAAGGGGTATACATACAAAAGTAAGTATATTTTTTAAAACATGCTGGGCACATAAATTTATGAGCTTGTTCTACTTCGATTAATTACCCTCATCAAGATAAATGTTTATTGCACTTTATCTTTTTCTTCAAGAGGATATTTAAAATCTTTTTTTGTTTAGTTTTGCACTTTATCTTTTCCTTAAGAGGTGGAATACATCTAAAATCGTTCTTTGTTTTAGTTTTTATGTGGTAAAGTTTAAATTTTTGAAGACACAAAAATTAAAAATATGGCATACTGATGATATAGCTCACAAGCTAGATTAAAATGTACATATCTACAAACTGTATATTCACTGAAAATGTCCCAAAATTGGAAATTTAGCTACTTATGTATTTTTTGTCTGAAATTAATATTGACCTAAGAACAACAACAAAAAAAAACAAGAAAAATTTGCTAGAAGGGTTATCAAAACAAGGGTGATTAGTTTATAACGCATAAAATGTAATCTACCTTGTAAATAGTTCAGTTAACATTCTAACTCTAATGAGTCTAAGGAAAACTATCAGTATCTCCAACAAAACTAAAAAAGTACTAAACATCTCTATAAATACAATACGTTATATATAATATAGACACTATTACTATTAGTATTATACTGATAATATGGATACTACTTCGAAGAAAGCTGAGTTTGGAAATTCGCTACTTAAAAGTTGTTCAAGGTTGGAACAACTGTGAATTCTCACTTGTTCGCAAGGTTAGAAATTATGCAAGGTCTAGGTTACGTCTAACTAAGATATGCTGAATTAAACCATTACACCAAGACGTAATCACGACTCTCACACTTAGGAATTTAAACACTATCAGAGCAACATTATGAAAAAGCGCGGTAAAACTAAAATAAGCAATTAAAATATGGTGAAAAATTACCCATATATCCTATTAATATGTTCACAATAATCAGTATAAACAACCACGGGAACTTCCTCTTAATATAACACGTGTTCGTTTTGTTGATTTCTAGATTTATATTACCCTCTAGTGACAAACGCAGGAAGTATGCTTTTCTACGTTTGACCAAGAAACCAACAATCGTGAAACGATATTTAACATTTATGTCGTAGTTCATAAATATATATATATATTATTATGATTGCCTGATAACAGATATTTAATTGTAGTTTGTTCATTAACTGAAAGCACAACTCAGGACAACTGCCATTACTCAAAGAATTTAATAAACACAATATTGTCTGCCCACATCACATTTTTCTCTTTAGATGGTTTTAACTACTGGTCTCGTCACAAAAAGTGAAATTTGTCTGGAAAAATAAGTTCCAATAACAGAAATACTGGTGTGTTACTGCGGGAGATGTTGGGAAGGCTAGTTCAGAAAAGAAAAGGATAGAGTTAAAAGGGAGCATTCCTAGTTAAAAAATTAAATACCAAAGCCAAATCCCGGACCCATTACAAAAGTAAGAAATTCTGAAGTAAAATAACTTTTACGGATCAAGAGAAAATAGGTTCATAAAAAAAAATATAGTGAATTTTTACGTGAAAATATGCATGAAACTTACTATAGTTCAATACTATATGACCCTATTCTCCTGCTAATCATACAATGTTAAAGATCATTACCCTTTGGTAATTCTGCATTTTTCGGCGGATGGAGTCGCTGGAATATTTCTTAGGCTTGTAATAATGTATTATGTAGTCCAACCGGTTGTGTAGAAGTTTAGAAATACCAGAAAACTCTATCATCTCTGTTTTTACTAATAAGATGACCACAAAGCATGAGTGACAAATGCATTCTGGAAGATTTAACCCTCTCTGAATATAAGTATATAGTGATAGATTCTCTCGGTGTAGAGACATTTACATCCAGATTCTTGTTTGACACGGCCTCTAGCCTTTTAGAGAGAAATGAGAGCATCTTTCATCATCGTGCGCACTTCAAATTCAGTCGAAGTGTTTGTCTTGTGTTTGTATGTTGTTGGAAAAAAAGTAATTTTATTTTATTATGAAACTTGTATCCAATCTCTTTCCACAATTTACTCAGGTCAGAATTTAATTTAACTTTGTAATACACTTTCTAGCGAAACTTTTGTTAGAACATAGAGCAGTTAGTATTTTCAACTGTAAGAAATCAATCCACTTGGGAATATAATAATAGTAACAAGTAGCTCAGCGCTTTTATTTCAATTTCTATATTTGTAATAATAATTATTTATTATTATGAATTAACCATTATATAACTTGTAGCCTATCTCCATACAGAAAAAATAAAATGCTCAGTAATTATGATTTGGAATAACAAGTAGTCATGCTTTTGAGTTAACATATATATATTTACTGATTTAAAGTAATACATATAAAAAAACAGATAACAAAATGGCTGCTATCAATTCATCTAAATAGTGGTCTTAAATGTATAAACACAAGTTACGTTAAAGTTTTGAATTCCTTTAGCACCTCCTTTGCGATTTCGTTTTTTTTTTTTTTTAATGTCCCTCAGTGGCACAGCGGTATGTCAGCGGACTTCTACTGCTAGAAACCAGGTTTCGATACATGTGGTGGACAGAGCACAGGTAGCCCTTTTTGTAGGTTTGTGCTTAATAACAAACAGCTTTTTGAAATTGCATAAAGTCAGAATATAATTCACATTCTGGAGAGAACAAACACTACTTACAATAAAATTAGAATACTTTTCTAGTAGATGAAAATTTAACAAAGTTTAAATATTCGGAATATCCCAAATAAAAATGTTAACATATTACGAATACTAAAAATGTTATGTCAAGTAGATTTAGTTCGTTTTAGACGTTTTATATTAGTTTAAAGAAATAAAATCTAACCCAATAGACCCTCGATAAGATAAATGTGGGAATATATATATATATATATATAACTTTATATATGTACGTATGTATAAATCAATAGTTCCAAAGCTATTAAATACATTAATTATAAATAGGTATTTTTTTATCAGAACTATAAAACAATAATAATGAAATTAATATAAATCAGAAACATTAGAAAGAAACTCAAAAATCAAAATTAATTTTTCAATTATCAGTCTTTGTTGTCATCATTATAACTCATAACGGATAATGTGTGCTGCCATAGCACCCAAACGTGCCAACGTCAAACTAGCCAGCAACCAAAGAAAATCAGTTAGGAGTTGAGTGCTTGAACCCACAACGTCTCAACTCCTACTACCTTTCGCTATCTGCAGCCAGTTGTGGGAAGGCAGTTACTCTTAATATTTAGATACAGCCTTAAAGTAGAAATAAATCACCGTAAATTTCTACAATGTGAGACTCCCAACAGCTATTCTTTTATGGGATATACAAAAAAGCAAAAATGTTCTCATAGTAGAAATAGACTATCCTATACTTCTACAATACTCCCATCTTTCACCCTTTTATTTAATAAATACAAAATGATGTTAAACAGAACTAGAACTCTTACCTTAATAATTCTTAATTCACCTTCCTCCTCCCTTTCTCTTGGAAATTTGTTCAGTTTATGATACTAAGAATCAATGCAGAAATATACTTAATATTTGTATGCATAACAGTTATATTACTTTCAGTGAACAAATATATTAGCAAACAGTGAGTATTCCGATGGGTGCTAATTTCTTTTCAAACATGGCCAACTTGCATTTGTTCTTCTAAGAAAATTCATTTTTGAAATAGGTATCAAACTCTGATTTATATATCTATACTTTTTGTATATAGATTATTAATCTCTAACAAAAATTTGAATTTTAATCCAAACGTAATATACCCAAAGAAACTTATAACACAAAGAAGCAATGTTAGTGATGTTCATGCACATTACTTATACTTAGACATTAATTTTGTAGAAGGCAGAGTACTGTTGACTATTTTTGATAAAAGAAAGGAATTTGATTTTCCCATCCTTGGTCTACTCACTTCTAATAGTGTTGTTCCGTTTATACTGCTGAAATTAATTATTATTTCTCAATTATCAATTTGTAATAATAGTAATTCTTTTATTGGCAATGTTCAATTAATCATAAATAATTTAAAAAAATAATGGCCATAAAAACTGGCATATAAAAATATTCATACTATTTCATAATTTAAAGGAAATTAAATTAAAAAGTAAACTCTTGATTACGAAAACTACCTTGTGGAGAACATGTAAGTCGTTAGCTATTCAAACTAATTCTTGGCTTATAAGTAATCAACTTTGAAATATTTAGATATTTTGTTCAGTATACCGGGGCTTGTCTCAACTCTCTCGGTATATACTTGAACATGTTTTCAAAAGAAAGGCAGGATGATGGGGATTAATAACTATAAGGATTGGTTAAAACTTTACAATTGAGGTTGAATACGCCCAAAAGCTTATTTTGTAAAGAAAAAAAGACTAAAAAATGGTTTAAATAGTGATCACAAATGGCAGAACAAGCACTAAAGTGCAAGGAATATTATTTTAATGTTTTAGCTTTAGACGGCGCTTATTTACAGTCAAAAACATATTTTGAATTGTCTTCTGTTAAATTTCTCTTTAAAGCTCATTAGATAAAACAAGTTAGTACAAATAATTGAATATTATATTACTATTTCACAAAAATAAAATCTTGTATACAATTTCAAATAAGTTATTTATAATTTTTTCCATTCACAAGTGCGACTTTGCTCTTGGAGCAAGACAAAATGGATCGGGGAGTCATAGGGTAGAGTGTGCTGGGGCTTATAGTGTACCGAGCCCACAATTTATCCCCCTGATGAATAAAATCGTTTTTTCTTCTTCTTATAACTTAAGGGTAGTAGCCAACATATCTTCAATGTTGGTGTATACCTTGTGTTAATGGAGTTCTAATACGTTTCCATGGTTCTTTGATAAGATGTTTCCGGCTCATCAAGGATGACTGGTGGATGAGGCAAACACAGGTATGCTCCATGATGCTTACCTTTTCAGAAAATGTTGACTAGACTATTCTCACAATGATTATCTGTTTACGATAACACACACCATTCCGAGCACCTTTTCTAATAATATTAGGAACATTTCGTTCATGAGTGTGGATTTCTCTATGTAAACGTCAAGTTTAACTACTGTGCAGTATGCATAGCACTGTGCAATCTGTTTCCATAATCTATTACAGCCAACGGAAGAGTCTAGTCATAACTTGGGGATTTATACCGAATCTAAGAATAGATTAATATAGTAGGCTTAAGGTGGCTCTCTAATATTCTGCATATGCATCTACCTCAATGAATTTACTGATTTATGTATGATTAAGAATGTTACTCTGAGCGCTTTGGTAAGAAGTTGCATGCCATTTTCTGGTACCTTTGGAATGGATTTCATTCTTTTGGACAATAGTCCTCGCCACCACCGTTCACATATTGTCAGTTTTTACTTTGAATTGGTTATTATATATTTATTTTAATATCAACGTTTGTTTAGATCAAATTTATTTTTAGAAAAATACATAGCTTATACTGTTAAATATGTATTGTGAAACACACGCCTATTATCCAAAGTTGTAGAAGATTCTCGAGAGTGAGAATCAACAATATATGTGTGTACGTAAACGCTTAATGTAGTTTTGTATTGTTACGTAATCTGAATTTTCTAGAAACTCTCCACACACTTATAAAAATAACCAACGCGACCCGCCAAAGTAGAGTATCTATTATTAGTTCGCTATAGTCAGTGTGCGATAAACTTCGGAAGCTATAACTGTGATTGTCATAACGCTTACCATTGGAAAACTTCAGATATTTGACCAGGAACCTTTACAAAGTTCGAACATTACAATTCGTTTAATTTCAGTGGATTCTCATCGAACATTAGTATTTTTACGAGAACATTACCTAACGTCACCGGTAGGAAAATATCGGTGTTTGTGGCTGAT